GATTGTAAAAACAACTTCATTTGGGCTAAATCCAGATGCTTAAACCAGAGTCTTCCAACCATGCTGTTTTTAGGGATAAAAGCAATTGGTTTAATTTTGGTGCTGAAGTTAAGTCCAAGCGATGGTACCAATCTGTCCAGATCATAAATGTTCATCTCTAAAACACCATAGTTTCTTTTTACCCTAACATTCTGGCCATGAGCCTATCCCCCAAACGTGCAGGTAATCCTCAATTTATAGCCATAATGGACCCTTGTGGTCATAGGTTGTGATGGACATAAAACAAGTCATCACATGATTGATCTGATTTTTGTACTTTTTTTCTTGTCACCATAAGTGTTTACACAGACATCCCAGTTCTTGAGCAAATCCATTGTTTACTATAGTACATTTTTGTTAAAAACCAGAAGTAAGCTACTGAGAACCCCAAATGTGGTTATGTGACCAAGGCAGCAGTTGTTGGAATTTTGGAAACATGTTGTACGTAGCTTTGCGGGGTGTGTGTGTGTTGTCTATTATAAATTGAGGACTAGCTGCAATACGGAAATTTACATGGAAAATACACAAAGTTGTTGAAAACATGTGCCAATCTTTTGTTACAAGTGACCAACACAAACAAGTGAAACTTTAAAAATGAATGAACTATTTATGAAGCTATAACCAATCACCCCAACTCAAAAATGAATCCACCCCAAAACTAATGATTTTATGATAAAATAAATTAAACAATACTTAAACTAGTTGGAGTAATTTCTTCCCCTTGATCTACTGTTTTGTAGTTTTATTATACAAGTGGAAAGAATAGTAGAGAACCAGTTTGGTGTTAGTGGTTAAGGCAACAGGCCAGAAACTGGGAGTTCTAGTCCAGTTTTGGGTAGCTAGCCAGCTGGGTGAAACTTTTTCTCAGCCCTAAAAAAAAGTTAATAATAAATAACCTCTAAAAATCCTTGAAAGACAATAGTTGTGTTGAATAGTCTAAAGAGCATCATTCAGTATTCAAAATGGCCAAACCTGATTGAGAATGCAGTCTTCCATTCACTTTTGATTCTGCCCAAGTCATAAGGTGCACCAAGATCCAGCTTGTCCTTGGGATCTGATTCAGTTGCAACTTAAGTTGCTCTAGGCCAGGGGTCTCCAAACTTGGAAACTTTAAGACTTGTGGACTTCAACTCCCAGAATTCCTCAGCTGAGGAATTCTGGGAGTTGAAATCCATAACTCTTAAGTTGCCAAGTCTGGATACCTCTACTCTAGGCACTTGGTTGATTCTTTCTGGGATTCTGCATCTCACTGAAGCGTATAACTCATGAGCAAGCAGCAAGATGCTGAATTCACCAGCAACCAGCAAGGCTTGACTATAGTTGGGCCTATTGAGCAGAGAAAGTAATTTGCCATGGGAAGAATGATTCTCCTGCTAAAAACAACTCCAGCATCTTGCCTGTCTTGGCTCTCAGAATCAAGTTGTTTGAAACCCTGGTTTGTTGACTATCAACAACCTTGTCTCTTTCCTGATTTGGCATGTAAATCTTCTCCTTGACTTTGAACTGCTAGACTTTGAAATTTGCCTTGCCCAGTTGAGCCTTACCTATAATGAATTGCTGTGTGTTGTTTTCTTGCTGTTGGGGTTTGCAGAAGCAAGTATTTCCTTTAACACTGCATGTGCCAAGGAACCATGTCTGGGTCCTGAAAGGATCTGAAAAAAATGAAGTTGGGATGCAAAAGGAATACTGCTATCAGCAGTGGAATCCTATCTGATCCACTACTGATTCGGCGATCGTGCACCTAACGTGCACGCACCGCTTTCCACGCACCAACTGAGGCATGCAGAGCCAATCAGCTGAGAGGATAAAGAAGAGAAAAGCTCAGGGGCGGGTGGGAGGGCTGATCCTGCACTTTTCTCTTCTTTCTCCTTTCAGCTGATCATCGGAGGCTTTTTTTACTATCAGTTCAAACCAGTCCGAACCGGTAGCATACTACCACTGACTGCTTTCATATCTCCCATCCACCTTCTCTTTGTTAATTTAAACATACCTAATTTCTTTAGCCATTCTTCATAGAATTTATCTTTCAGGCCCCTTGTCATATTTGTTGCTTTTCTCTGCATTCTTCTAGGGCCTTGTGTTCTTTTCTGTATTGTGGTGACCTGTATTGGATGCAATATTCCAAATGTGGCTTCACTAGTGTGGTAGGGAGCCCTATTGTCACTTCTCTTGATCTTCTTTGGAGATTCTCAGTCATCCAGGTCACGGTTGTCCCAAAGGTGCTTTTTCAAAAGGCACCTGGGCTTTGTTTTTCCTTGAAGTCGTTTCATCCAAGAAGCTTCTTCAGTTCTGACTGAATGATGGGTTTATATTCCTTGCAGTCATCTGGTTATTAGCATTCTCTCTGAGAGTCGTTGAAGCTAATTGTAGGGTTTTTTGTGCCCTCGCGATCACCTGATAGTGCAACCCTTTTGGAACTGCTGAAAGGACAGTGTTGTAAACAGGAGATAGGTGGTGTTGTATTTCTCCCCATCTGTTGTGAGAGAGGGCTGTTCAATTTTTAACATAGATGGCCTCTTTGAACCCTTTTTCAAACCAACTGTCCTCTCTGTCCAGAAAGTAGATTTTGTTGTTTTCAGAAGTGTGGCCTTAGTCTTTCAAAGGCAGATGACTCCTGAATATTGACCTGATGGGTTTGTTCTCTTACATTATTCTCCTATATTATGCAATATGTTTGTGAAGTGATTGTTTTGTTTCTCCAATGTATAGATCTACACAGGTTTCACTTTATTCTCTTTATCTTGTTACTACCCCTCTGTTGATGCAGCTCAAGACTGTGTGGCCTTTCTTGGTTTTTCTGTATTAATGTTCTTCTTGTTTTTTTTCTTTGAAAACATTTTGTTTCTCATCCAAAAAAGTTAGAACTTAGAACTGAAGAAGCTGATGGCAGCTGATAAACCCAAGCTTTTGAACTGATGTGTGTGTATGTGTGTGTGTGTGTGTATACACACACACATACACACACATACATGCACACACACACACACACATATAAATATAAATATATAGTCTCTTTGTGTGTCTGTATATATATATAAATATATGTGTTTTCTTAAGTTTTCATGGGTATTTATATGTATGATATTCAGCTTTGTTCGGGTATTTTCCCACATCATTATAGTTGTGCTTTTAAAGTTGTAGCAACGTTTCAGCAGAATCTCATCCACCATCATCAGGCTTCTGACGAACACTATACAGAAACCTGATGATGGCAGATGAGATTCTGCCGAAAGTTGCTACAACTTTAAAAGCACAACTATAACGACGTGGGAAAATACCTGAACAAAGCTGAATACCATAAATATATGTGTGTATATACGTGTATACACACACAAAGAGACTTAACAAATTGCATATATGTACAAGGAAGTCCATAGCATTATTTAAAAATCAACATGAAATTTGACCTTCACCTAACATCACCTTTTATTTATTTGGCTTATTAATATTTAACAAAGATTAACAGTATAAAAGACTTGAATCTGTGTCTTATTTTTTATTAGAACTATCACCATGTCTTCTGCTGTGCTTCTTATAGGAGTTCTCTGCATTTTAGGAGCAAATGGTTTTGCCTCTGAAGGGAAAGCAAGGTGAGTTCATTTTATGGGATAGAAATTATGTTTGGTAGCATTTGTGGCCAATCTTCTCCAAAGTTCCTGGTGCCCTGTTTTTTTAATTTCTGGAAGATAGAAAGTAAGAGAACACCTGCAAGTGAGAATACCTGATTCCTGTCATTTTTAAAATTCTTTGATTAACTCTAAGTGATTTTAGAAATCCTGATGCTATGATTAATTTTGAACAACATGTCAGCCCTATTGATTCATATCCATGCGTAAAATATAAAATCAAACTGTCAAATGTACATTATTTTATTAGTACCATGGTACTAAAATTTCCAGGATGTGCTGATAGTTAATACAAAAAACACCCAAACAAAACCACATATACACACCGCTTATGTCATCATTGATTTTTCCTACATTTAAAGAATTCCTGAGAATTCTTTAAAATGTGAATATACAAACCCATCAAGTTGTATATTAAAGCTTATTTGTATTAAATCGTATCAGATATAATCTTTCTTGCTTGAATTCTGTTTTTAAAACAAGCAAAGAAGCTTGCACATAGAAATTGCAAATCAGTTGCAAGATTCAACCCTCTTTCCTATGGTCATGGAGTTTTCAGGTGCATATTCCAATAGCATGCATCTTGAAATTGCATACTCCAGAGCAAGTATTGTCACGCAACGTCGTTGTGAGAGCTACAACAAGATACACCAAGTAGCACAGTGGTTAGAGTGCAGTACTGCAGGCTATGTCTGCTGATTGCTGATTGCCAGCAGTTCAAGTCCCAACGGCTCAAGGTTGACTCAGCCTTCCATTCTTCTGAGGTTGGTAAAATGAGGGCATAGATTGTTGGGGGCCATATACTGACTCTGTAAGCCACTTAGAGAGGGCTGTAAAAGCACTGTGAAGTGGTATATAAGTCTAAATGTTAATGCTAAATAGCCAGAGAAACAAAGTTGTATTGTTCCTATATTGCATCCTTGCAATATACAACCAATATACGTACAAACAGGAACTTACAAGGTATTAAACCAGAAACATTTTAAATTACTTTAAAATGATTTTATTTTAAGGTTGAAAAGGGAACCTAATGCTCCAGCACCCATTGACTGCTTGCTGACTACCTGGAGTGCTTGGGGACCATGTAGTCCGTGCTCAAAAGAAAGAGTAAGTGGCATTTCCATAATTTCACTTTCATTAAAAGAACTTCATAAGGAAGATTTATTTGTGAAGTATAGGCTCCTTGGTGGACATTAGTTTCAAGTAGAAAAAGAAAAAGGGGTTCTCGTTTGGAATCACGGTTTATCCACTAATCATAGAGTGTTAAATTTGAATGGATGGTAAGAAATCACTCATTTCAATCCTTTCAGAGTGTAAGTGTCCACACTATAATAGCCTCTCTAGCTGTACATCAGTGTTTCTTTCTCAAAATTTGCTGAGGTTGAGGTTGAGTAGACAAACGTCCATCTAGTGATGGAGTGATAGTCTCTCCTGAATAGCTGTGAACCCTTTCTATTCCATTTTGGGGCATGCAGCAAGTTTCCATTCTTTTCAACTTGCGTATTTATTTTACTGCCCATTTGCGTCATAGAGGGACTAAAAACAGTATATCAAATTTAAGACTTAAAAAGAGGCAAGGACGATTAAACTTTAACTTTAATATTAAATATTAATTAAAAGGCAGGGCGGGGGCTTTCGGGGCCAGTCTCATTTCCCCCAGCTGTTCATCCCCTCCACAGCTGTCTGATACTGAAGCCTGTTTTAATTTTGTTTTTAATATCTCCCACAAAGTACCGCTCAAGGAGCATTCTGAAGTTTGGACAGTTTGGAGGAAAGCCATGCATTGTAGCCCTGAGCGATAAACAGACCTGTGAGACAAGAATTCCATGCCCGGACAAGAGAGGTCATTGTGGGAAGCAAGAGTTCGAATGTGAAAATGGTAGGTATGGAGACATCTGACGTCATTTCTCAACTGCCATCACTGATTATAGTGGTCTGATGACAAGAGGAAGATTTGGAGCCAGATCCAGGGGTGGGCTGCTGGGGGTTCGGGAGAGTCCCTAGCTAAGATTCTGTGCAGTTTGGAGAACACCAAAATTCCGCTCTTGGCTGGCCACGCCCACCCTGCCCCTCCCCTCCTAGGAGTCCTCACGTGGCCTGTTTTTTGGATACAGGTAAGTGCAGGGCATGCATGGAAGCTTGGGGAATGCGAAAAACGGGCCTCCCGGAAGTTCAGGAAGGCCGGAAATGGGCCCTTTACCAGTCTCCAGAGCCTCCAAAGGGAAGGCAAACCCCCACCCGCTGTGGTGCATGAGGTCGACTAGGCCATGCCCACCCAGCAATCAGGTAGAGAACCCATTGCTAAAATGTCTGAAGCCCACCCCCGCCCATATCCCACTGACTTAAAACTCTAGGACAGTGGGCTTCTTTGCAAGGAGAGCTCCAGGATCGCTTTCCAGATGGGGAAAATTGCACACTGGCTGATATGTTTTTGTTTGCTTTCTAAAACTGCAAGGAAAGCAGTATGGGTATGGAGACTTTGACATGTATTTCTCTGCTGCCATCGTTGGTCCAGCAAGGAGAACTTCCAGGATCACCTTCAAGATGGTGGAAGTGACATACTAGTTGATGTGCTTTTGTTTTTTAAGCAGCTTTCTCCCATCACACTTTTTTTTTTCCTAACCAAACGTCTATAGCAGGGTGTCAAACTCACATCACCACAGCAGAGTCACATGATGTATAAGGACTTTTCCCCCCTTCGCTAAACCGGCCATCTGGCCTGCAGGCCAGGAGTTTGGCAGCCCTGGTCTACAGTATAGTGTGATGATGAATATTGTGCTTTCTAATGTCATTTTTGCAAGGACATTTTCTTTCTACATGCATTTTTATAAGCCATGTTTTGATGGGACAACCACACTGCACCGTTCAGAGAAATGTTAAATGTCGAAGTATTATGATGTTTTCTGTTTAAAAAAAATCTGACAATATTTTGATCACAACCATGTATTATTTGCATTGTGCTACTATATGATGATGATTGTTTTATTTCACTAAATGTAACCTATGCATATAGGTTCAGGAGGAACAGGTTAAGTTAAATTTGCACTGAAATGCAAACCAAAAAGCTTCAGTAAGTTTTTGAGAACAGTGTAGTGATATATAAAAGCATATTGTATCATTCAAACAAATATTGCACTATCCCCCCCTCCCCCCCCCGAGAAATTAACTGTAAATCAGTTGGTCATTCTGATATAAATGGTAGTTTATTTTATTTAAGCTGAAATTTTGGGGAGTTGAAGCCCAATTCATCCAAAAGGCACAATTGGGGAAAGCAATGTTGACTTAGGAAGGTATTCTAAATATCCAATTATCTATTGTTATAATGTTTCATTCTTTCATTCGTTCTATGCTAAGGATATTGTCTAAAGGGTAGGCTGGTGTGTAACACAGAAAATGACTGTGGTGACTTCTCTGATGAAGATAATTGTGATGAAACCAAACGCCCACCCTGTGGGGATCGTGACATTGACGTATCAGAACTTGGAAGAACAGCTGGACAAGGGTGAGTTTTAGACAATGAGAAGAATACAATTTTTTTTTAATTTATTTATATATTGCATTTATATATGCTCCCATCTTATAATAAACTGTGGGCATCTCCCAATCAGAAATTAAACCATATTGAAACCATATTAAAACTAAATGCATAGAAACAAAAACCTGATACCAGGAAAAACTTCAGAAGCACAGAATTGCATGTCATGCTATCTGCGAATTCTGGATTCAACATGGCTTCAAAGAATGCAAAGCTTCCGTAGACGTGCATTGATTCCACCAGGCTCCCACTTCTATCTGACTTTTTATTCACACACACACACACACACACACACACACACACACACACAAACAAACACACACACACTTAAACTAATTTGATTTTTGAAAAGCTAACTGAAACTTTCAAGATTGGATTATAATACTGGTAGCATTAAACAGAGGTGGTAGTCAGCAGGTTCTGACCAGTTCTGGAGAACAGGTAGCGGAAATTTTGAGTAGTTCTGAGAACCAGCAAATACCAGCTCTGACTAGCCCCACCCCCATCTATTCTCTGCCTCCTGAGTCCCAGCTGATCGGTTGAGTCTTCTTTGGTTGCCCTGCACAGGAGAACAGAGCTGGAAAGCAGGTTAGTGGGGTGAGAAGGGAATAGGGATTTTGCAGTATCCTTCCCCTGCCACTCCCACCAAGCCATGCCCACCAAGCCACATCCACAGAACCGGCAGTAAAAAAATTTGAATCCACTGGTATTAAAATAATGAAAAATGGTCTTCTTGAAAAGCAAAGTGCCAGCTTTCAGTGTTATCTTAATTTTCCATAATGCCCCTGAACACCAAATAAGTCCTGACATTTAAAAAAAAATTACTCGGAGCCTTTGTCTGGCACCCTAAGTTATATGGCAATGACTTCAGGTGGTATTCATAAATGATAAAACCAAAGGAAACCCAAATAAAAATTTTGAGCAGGTTTCACTATAACGATACTGAGATAATCATTAAATACTTGGTTGGAAAAGGGTCAGTATTTTGGCTTTTTACTGGTCTTTATTGGCCAACTATGTTTCTTTTATAAATTTTCTTTTTTGTTACTTGTAAGCCATCCAGAGACAGTGAAGAGTCCGATATCCTGACAGCCAAGTTAAATGATTGCTAAATAAAATCTTCCAGACAATAAGTGTTTAACATTTAACGTGCAAAAAAACCCACCTTTTTGTTTGAGAGAGAGCCAGTCTCGTGTGTGGTTAACCAAAAGTCTGACTTCTAGTCCCACCAGAGGCATGAAAACTGGTTGAGTAACTTTGGGCTGGCGCCCATACCAAGCTCAGACAATAAGCTGGTCTATCAATTCCTGTTGGAACCAATGGAACAACACTTGTTGTTTTTTTCCTGAAAAAAGCAGACCTTGCACTTGAAGGAAAATTCTAGAAAGAAAAAAAAATTATTTGGTATTTTGTGTATATTATTGATTTGTATTTGCTGTTCCTGCTTGTTATTTCTGATAGTATATGACATTTAATAGTACTATGAAATTAATAACATAACTTTTCTTCCTTCCTTTTCTTGAAGTATGAATGTGCTGGGAATGAAACCGGCTCAAAAAGCCCTTTACAATGAGTTCTACAATGGCATCTGTGACAGAGTCCGTGATGGGAACACAGCCACTTATTACCGCAAGCCATGGAATGTGGCTTTCCTCAGTTATGAAGTAAGCTTCTTTGTGTCAAGCAGAGTTTTGTTTTGCATCAAAAGGCAACATCCACTTTGCCTCAGCCTCAACTTCTAAAATGTAAAGTGTGTGTCCATATAATTTTCTTGGCAACTTTACACAAATTCTTTGCCATTGCCTTAGCATTTTCTTTAAAATTGCCTTGTCTAGTTGACATCCCTGGAATCCATTCAGATAGTCTGCAGTTCTGGTCCTATTTTGCTTTTTGAGATTCACCAAGATCAACTGGGTGCTTTTGTTGCAAAAAAACAGATAGGCAAAAAAAAAACAAATAGGCAAAAACAAAATGCAGTTTTTCCTAGTCTTGGTGGGGGGGAAAGATCAAAAGCAAGATGCATATTTCCTAATTCAGACTTCCCATCACAGCATTGACCATATGCATCGGGCCTGAAAAACTTGTAATTTCCCATCAGCTGTAACCATTATACAGCTGAAGGGCATGAGTTACAAATATTTTGTTAGATGCTGTTAACACCATAGAGATTAAAAACAAACAAACCCTTCCTACAGTTGCTGTTCTGTGCATGGGTGTTTTAATTTATATATAATAATAAAAGCAAGCAGTTTAGTTCTTCATCTGGAATTTTAGACATTCAGACATTTACATTCAGACATTTCAGACACAAGGGATCCCCACATTGCCAAATTGTATTTGTTATTGTTCAGTCAGAAGTCTGAAGAAGAAATAGCCTCACATTGGGCTTAGCACCCCATTATGAGTCTGTTTAGTATAGGAAAGACCAGTTGCTTTCCTAACATGTCTTGGGAAAGACATGTTTCTTTTCACCCCCACAGGTTTTGATGATTTGATGGCCACATATATATAGTTCAGGCTATGCAGAGCAATCTTAAGGTCTCCTAACTTTGGAATTGGGGTGGCAGCATAGGATGATCTCAAAGTGATCATCCAAAGGATATTCCAGGGATGTGGATGGAGATCTGTCCATCCAGAGGTGGTCTTCAACAGGCTCTGACCAGTTCTGGAAAACCAGTAGCAGAAATTTTGAGTAGTTCAGAGAACCGGCAAATACCACCTCTGACTGGAGATTTTACAGTATCTTTCCCGTGCCACACCCACCAAGTCACGCCAATAGAATCAGTAGTAAAAAGTTTGAATCCCACCACTGCTGCCATCTCTGATGAAAGTTCATTGGCTCTTGATCCACCACCAGGCACAGCCTTCTTCCCACCCCATGGTCTCTTATAGAAGAACCCCTCATTTCTGCAGAAATTGGGGTTGATCACTTACACTAAGGAAACCAACAGGAATGATTTTAAAAGAGAGAAGCATCCCACACCATTCACCACTAGTGCTGGGGCAAAAATCTGGTGTACTAACGTCTCGTCTGAACTAAGCCCATCACGGGTTTTACCACAGGGGGTCATCATAGCCTGTTGTCCATCATTATCTAACTGTTACTCGTGCATTTAACTGTATATTTTCTGCCTTTCAAGACAAGAGGAGACAAAAAATTTACAAGTGAATTCTACAGTGACCAAGGAAAAACAATGGAAAAAATAGTCAGTACAAAATCACACACCCTAGATGTGAGCTTCTCTCTTCAACTGAAACCGCCTTTGCTCCCTGTATCGGGTGGTTTTGAGACAGGCATAAATTTTGCCAAATCATCCAGCCTGAGTGACTTCTTAGAGAAAACCAAAGGAAAGGTAAGCTGTTAAAAACAAACCATAGGTAAATATGCATTATTTTAGGGGAAGCCAAAATTCAAACGTCAAAAGGAGCCCTGAACTGTTGGTTGCATTCATATTGAATTGGGTTATTGAAATACCAAAAGTCTATATTTGCACAAGCTAAGCTTGCTTAATGTTAACCTTGCTAAAGTTTTCTGTATCTTAGAGTAATGCTCAGCACAAATCTTCCCCTTTTCTTGGATCTGTTCAGCCAATACACACCTGCATCTCTTCTTCCCCAGGGACTTTCGCTTTGCCAAAGTTTCTGACACTTTGTCTGTAACAAGTTGTGTCCTTCCTGACATGGATTTTCGCTGAAGATACCATCTCTCAGGGACCTTGTTTTTCTTCCTCCGGGCAAAGCACCTGTTGATTTTTCTTGACCTTCTTTGACCAAAATCTGACAACCAGTCTCCATTCTCACATCAACTTTACTCCCCAAATATCTCTCTAGCCGTTTCCTTCTACAACATTTTTTGTTGTTTGCAATTTTTCTCTTCATTCTTCCTCTCTTTTTCTCTTCTCTCAACCTCCATCATTGGGTTAGACCAGGGGTCATCAAACTTGACAGCTTTAAGACTTGTGGACTGCAACTCCCAGAATTTTTCCTCCAGTCATATTAGCTCAGGAATTCTGGGAGTTGAAGTCCACAAGTCTTAAACTTGCCGAGTTTGAAGACCCCTGGGTTAGATTGATAGTATGTCTCCTATCACAGGGCTTTAACGCATAACCTATATCCAGGGGTGGGATTCTACCGGTTCTGTCCATCTCTACAGAACCAGTAGCTCTGAAGAGCAGCAGACACAGAACCAGTTCTGTGTCTGCTGCTGTTTTCACCCACCTGCCCGCCCGGGCTCTTACCTGTCCTTATTTCCTGCTTTTTCAACCTCAGCTGCTTTGTGTGGCACAGCTGCAGTTGAAAGAGCAGGAAAAAGGGCTTTTCCAACTGCTGGGCACCCGCACACAACGCTGCTCAGCTGTCTGGGCAGCTCAGCAGGTCATAAATTGCACTCGCGCAACTCACGCATGTGTGCACGCGTGACTCACGCATGTGCGCGCGATGCAGAACAACAGAACCGGTAGTTATACTGGTCAGATCCCGTCCCTGCCTATATCCATGGGAATACTGTCTACTCTACCAGTATTGTTTAACAGCTAGTTCAGCTCATCAGCCCACATGATGGAACAACTGAACTTCAAGGCTAGACTGGAGCCTCTTCACCCCTTTTTCTTTTTCTAATATCTGTCTCACATCAGCATGACAACCACCATACAAAGCCACTAAAAAACACATGCTATCAACTCGTGAAGCTCCCCTGACCTGCTCCCGAGTTACCATAGGCTGGGGGATGGGAAATCATGCCTCACAGCTGCACCAAGGAATTTACTCCTCAGTCATAACAAGACGCAGTCTGGCTGAGCAAGTCAAGTCCATCTCCACAGATACCAGCAAAGAATCACCCTGCCCAGAGAAGCAGGTGGTGGGTGTAGCAAAGTTTTGGCGAACATTGTCTGGACGAACACAATACAGAAGCCTGATGATGGCAGATGAGATTCTGCTGAAATGTTGCTACAACTTTAAAAGCACAACTATAATGACGTGGGAAAATACCCGAACAAAGCTGAATACCATA